TGCAGGGAAACTTTCAGAGGGGCTAGTGGGGGCAGGAGCAATTCTGAAGAATCTTTTGGTTATTAAAATGTTTTGACTTTTATTCTGAGAAAATGTAAGTATCTTCTTAGAGGACTTGACATGACTTGTCTTCCATTTCAAAAGTCCCATCCTAGCTGCTATTTTGGGAATAAACTAGAGAGGGGCAAGATCAGAAGATGGAAGTTAGTAGGTGAGAGCAATGATGCAGAGGAGAAATAATAGTAGCCTGGCCCAGGCTGCTTGTGGTGAGGATGGGGAGAAGTCCTTGGATTCTGGATATACAGGCACGCCTCACTTTATTGTGCTCTGCTATACTGTGCTTCATTATGTTGTGCTTCTCAAAAAATCTATCAGCACAATTTTCCCAACAGCATGTGCTCATTTTGTGTCTCTGTGTTACATTCTGGTAATTATTGAGTTATTTCAAGCTTTGTCATTATTATTGTATCTATTTTGGGGATCTGTGATTGTAATATTTGATGTTACTAGTGTAACTGTTTTGGGGTACCACAAACCACAACCATATAAGACAATAATTTAATCAATAAATACATCAGGCCTCCCTATTCCCTGAGACACATCAATATTGAAATTAGACCAATTAATAAACCTCCGACGGCCTCTAAGCATTCAAGTGAAAGGAAGAAGCATATGTCTCTCACTTCACATGAAAAGCTAGAAATAATTACGCTTAGTGAGGAAGGTATGTGGAAACCTGAAATAGGCTGAAAGCTAGGCCTCTTGCACCAAGTAGTTAGCCAAGTTGTGAATGCAAAGGAAAAGTTATTGAAGGAAATTAAAAGTGAAATAGTGAACACACGAGCGATAGGAAAGTGAAACAGCTTCATTGCTGATACAGAAAAAGTATGAGTGGTGGTCTGGATAGAGAAGATTAAACCAGCCACAACATTCCCTTAAGCTGACGCCTAATCTAGAACAAGGCCCTAACTCTCTTCAATCTATGAAGGCTGAGAGAGGTGAGGAAGCTGCAGAAGAAAAAAGTTGGAAGCTAGCAGAGATGGCTTCATGTTTAAGGAAAGCAGCCATCTTTGTAAGATAAAAGTGCAAGGTAAAGCAAAAAGTGCTTCTGGAGAAGCTGCAGCAAGTTATCCAGAGATCTAGCTGAGATAATTGACCAAGGTGGCTACACTAAACAATAAGTTTTCATAGTAGAAAAGACAACTTTCTACTGGAAGAAAATATTATCCAGGACTTTCATAGCTGGAGAAGTCAATGCCTAGCTTCAAGCTTCAAAAAGACAGGCTGGCTCTTTTCTTAAGGGCTAATGCAGCTGGGGACCTTAAGTTAAAGCCAGTGCTCATTACTCATTCTGAAAATCCTAGGACTCTTAAGAATTATGCTAAGTCTACTCTGTCTGTGCTTAGTAAACGGAACCACTTAACTTGATATGAGCATAGTTTACTGAACATTTTAAGTCCCACTGTTGAGATCTATTGCCTAGAAAAAAAGATTCCTTTCTACTGCTCATTGACAATATACCTGGTCACCCAAGAGCTCTGATGGAGATGTACAAGAAGATAATTGTTGTTTTCATGCCTGCTAACCCAGCATCCATTCTGCAGCCCATGGATTCCGGAGTAATTTTGAGTTTCAAGTATTATTATTATTATTACTATTATTATTGAGACAAAGTCTGGCTCCGTCTCTGAGACCAGAGTGCAGTGGCACTATCTCGGCTCCCTGCAACCTCAGTCTTCTGAGTTCTCCTGCTTCAGCCTCCCAACTAGCTGGGATTACAGGCATGTGCCACCACACCCAGCTAATTTTTATAGTTTTAGAAATGAAGGTTTTTCCCCATGTTGGCAAGGCGGGTCTCGAACTCCTAACCTCAAATGATCTTTCTGCCTTGGCCTCCCAAAGTGCTTGGATTGTTTTGAAATAAAGCTGTTATTAAGTAATTCTTTTAATAATGCAAAAAACTCCTTTTTAAAATTCTATTTTCTTTTCAGAAATTTAAAATCACTAAGTTGTCACTACACCCAACCTCAAGTATTCTTTTAGAAATAAATTTCATAAGGCTAGAGCTGCCATAGACAGTGATTTCTCTGATAGATAAGGGCAAAGTAAATTGAAAACCTTCTGGAAGGGATTCACTATTCTAGCTGCCATTCAGAATATCTGTGACTCATGGGAGGTCAAAATATCAACATTAACTGGAGTTTTAACAGCAGCTGATTCCAAACCTCTTGGATGACTTTGAGGGGTTTGAGACTTCAGTGTAGGAAGTTACTGTAGATGTAGTAAAAATAGCAAGAAAACTAGAATTAGAAGTGGAGCCTGAGGATATGATTGAATTGCTGCAATCTTACAATAAAACTTAAATAGAGAAGAAGTTGCTGCTCATGGATAAGCAAAGAAAGAGGTTTCTTGAGATGGAATATACTCCTAGTGAAGATGCTATGAACACTGTTGAAATGTCAACAAAAGATTTAGAATATTACATAAATTTAGATAATAATTTAAATTATTATCTAAATAATAATTTAAGGGTTAGAGAGGATTGACTAATTTTGAAAGAAATTCTACTGTGGACAAAAATGCTATCAAACAGCATTGCATGCTGTGCAGAGAAATCTTTTGTGAAAGGGAGATTCAATAGATGTGACAAACTTCATTTTTGTCTTAAGAAATTGCCACAACCACCTCCAAATTTAGCTACCACCATGCTGATCAGTCAGCAGCTATGAACATCAAGACAAGAGCCTCCACTGACAAAAAGATTATGACTTGAAGGCTCAGATAATCATTAGCACTTTTTTAGCAGTATTATTGTGTACATTTTTCAGACATAATGCTATTGTGCACTTACTTAAACATAATTACAAGTTATCTTTATAACTGAAAGTTATATTTAGACTATAATGTGCTGTAAACATAACTTTTACATTGGGAAACCAAAAAATTGGTGTGATTCCTTTATTGGGATATTTGCTTTATTGTGGTCATCTGGAACCAAACCCACGATATCTCTAGGTTATGCCATAATTTAAAGATAGGATAAGCAACATGTTCTGATGGCTTGGATATGATGCAAGAAGGACAGAAATGAATTATGACTCCAAGATTTTTGGCCTGAGCAAACTAGAACAAAGGAGTGCCAAATGGGAACTAGAACAATGAGGCCCCATGGGGATTGGGACTAGTGAGGCAGGGAGTTTAATTTTGGGCATGTTTAATTTGAGGTGTCTGTGAGACACTCAGAGAGTCAAAAGGTCAAGCTGTTCAGGCAATGTAAAAGCAGAAAAAAAAGGCAGTAGCTAAAGGAGGGAGAATATAAGGTTAAAAGGTTTTGGCTTTATTTTTCAAAGGTGAGAACTAGTAAAGCATGTTTTTGTGCACACGGAAGTGTTTCCTGGAGAGGAAAGAAGTCATAAAGGAAAGAGAGGGAAAATTATGGGACACCATGTCTTGAGTAGGTTAGGGGTAGGATCTGCTCCGCCAGTCGAGCGGCTGGCTTTAAACAGGAATGTGGACAGAAGGGCCATCCGTTCTATCGGGAGGGAGGGCAAGGTGTGCAGGGACAGATGCAGGGAGACTGTGGAAGTCCTTCTGTTATTGTTTCTCTTTTCTCAGTGAAATAAGCATGTAACTCAGCAGCTGAGAGTGCTCTGTGCTAGCAGAAGCATGTAGAAGAGATGTGACAGGTTTACAGACAGAGCAGAATGTTTGAAATGGTCTTCTAGGACAGTAGTTTTAAATTTCAGCTCATAATCTGATAGAGGGTATTAAAACCAACTTTGTAATTTGAGATCAACTTAGTGATTTTAAAATGAAAATAGAATTTTTTAAGGAGTTTGTTGTATTATTAAAAGAATTGCTTAATGGCAGCTTTATTTCAGTTGCATGAGTGTGTATTTGCATGTATATTAGGTTATAGCAAAATATTTTTAAAAACACTTGCCCAGAATAGTGGGAGTAAATGAATAAGGAACTGTCAAAGACAAAGTCAAGGTCCTAGTTAATGATCATAAAGTCGAAATATTTCAGGTAAAAAACAAAAAACAAAAAAATCATAAAATGGACTCATAAGATCTTGGCATGAAAACTGCTAGAGGACCATAGTCCCTTCCCTACCACCTGCTGCTCCTTCTCCCTACCCTACTCCACTCCCCATGCTAGGAAACCTTTTCATTTGAATATTTCCAGTACTAGGGGAAGATCACCAGCTTACAAGATGTCAGAAAGTAACTTTCTGCTCTAAAAAAATGGGGCCCTCACAAAAGCAGTGAGCAGAGGCTCTGGCAGGATTTGGAATTTTGTATACTTAATATGAAGTTTGACATTATTATGTAATAACAAACTTGATGGCTTTTCCCCATTTCAGAGAGCTGTAGATCCTCAAAAACCAAACTAGTACCAGAGCACTAAGAAATCTTGTTTTTGTTCAAACTCTAGCCCAGAAAGCCACCAGCTAGCTTTTAAAAATATGCTCTTTCTCATCCTTACTAACTGGCAGTGTTAATGGATGATTGAGCTAAAGTTTATGCCTATATTTTCTTCCTATTTCAAGATTTGTTGTTGGAACTGCAAATGATTTCAATCAAATGATTTCAGACAACTGTACTCGGAAAAAAATTCATCCGTTTTTAAGACTTTACATTTCTTAGTTGCAGAATTAGTTTTTTTCCCTGCAAAATACATTAAAAAAATGAATATTTAAGAAGATATCAAAATGTAATGTGAAAATAACCATTTATATTTTAAAGTCTGAGCTCAGGTTATTTTCTAGACATTGTAATTTAGAATAATAAAAGTACTTCTCCAGTTTTACATTTTGCCTGATTGTTAAAAATGATTCTGAGATTATTAAGATGATTCTATTCACCTGACCAAGTTCTGAACCATGTATGAGTTTTTTAGAAAGTACTTTTTCCTTATTGTAAATGCAACATACAACTTAGTTCATTAGACAGGATATCAGAGACAAAGCTTATACATGAAATACAGTCCCCCCGAACAATGCTGCTCTCTTTCTCCAGTGTTTATTTTGATGTAAATTTGAGACACTGAATAGAATTCAAATTTAACTAATAGAGAATGAAGGCTTGTAAAAATGTACACTCTGCCTACATCAGTAAGAGTATGCTAATGTATAACATCAAATATTTAATCTTAGTCTACTTGTAAACCAAAATCAAGTAAAGCCTGAATCTACCTTCTATTGTTTTGGGGTTAGAGTCTATATTCTAGGACTCACTTAGTAGTTTCACTTCTCTAAGCATCAAGTAAAACAGTTAAAATTACCAAACAGGAATATGAAGTTCATCTCATCATGTATTATGGACCAATCACTCTGTTATTCTTTATCTAGACCTTCAAATACTTTATGTAAAATGTTTCTATACGAAAGGAAACACACGGGATTAGTTCCTCCTCTAATACTTCTAAAGAGCTCTACCATGGAAAGCTCTCTTCCTTCCATTTTGCAAGTCTCAACAAGTCTGCTGCTGAGTCAGAACCTCCTTTTTTCCCTGATGTAAGAAATCTTTCTCTCTTGAAAATTCATAAAGCTTAGGAAATGTTTAGTCTCCCTGGGGGGAAGGGGCGGGAACCCCGGAATGAATGTGGTGGGGAGGAGTCCCACGCTGCAGCCCTGATGATGGCACATGAAACACTTTTAAGAAATGGAGCTGGCACGGGGTTACCATGGGAGCTTGCCGCGGAACCCGTTCCACGCATCAGAGTGTGTAAATAACCACGCGGAGTGTGTTTGTTCCTCCTTACCCAAATGAAAATGCCTGGAATACAGCCGGGACTCCGAGGCTTCATGTTTACCCTACAGAAAACACTCTCGGCGGCTATAGGATGTCGGTGACAGCACCCCCTCCAGCGCCTAAAACATAGAAACAAACCTAGAGAGCGCTTCCTAAGGCGACGAGGAGGCCCTAAGTCGGGGACTCGGGGTCTAGAGGTGCGGGGCGACACGCTCCGCGGACTTCAAGCAGGCACAGCCCAGACGCGAGTTCGCCACAGGACCCCTCCCGACCCCGGGCTGGACCGGGCTCCCGCGTTGTGCTGGGGGTCTCGGGCGCCTATTTCTATGCGAGTTCGCACAGTGCAGGCGCCCGTCGGGGTCCCAGGCCTCAGTTTCCCCTGCGGGCCAGCCCCGCCCTGGGAACCCCGAGTGGTGAGGCTGGGCTTCTGCGACTGAGGGCGGAACGGAGGTGACAGGAAGGAGGCGGCACCGCGAGGGGCGGAGACGCGTGCGACCCGGGCAGGCTCTGCGCGGATCCCGCGCCAGGGAGGGGCCGTTGCCCAGGAACCGTCCCTTTCTCCCGCGCGCGCCCGCCCTAGTGCGCGCGCCCGCCCAGTACTCCAGTCGACCCCCGCCCCAACTGGCCTTTCCATTTCCCCTGACGCAGAGAAACCCAAGGAGACGTGACGCTCGCTCCCGCCCTCCAGGGAGCGCCAGCGCGCCCCCGGCTGAGTCTGCATATTAATGAGGGGCGGGGCGGGGCGACGGGGGCGCGGTGGCCTCAAGCCCGCGCGTGCCAGGACGCACCACGGGGGGCGGCGCGATTGTGAGGTGGCGCTGACGCACGTTCCGGGGTTCTTAAGCCGCCAGGGCGGTGGCGGCGGCGGCGGCGGCGGCGCCCGAGCAGGTCTCGGGAGGTGGCGGCGGTGATCGCCGCGAGGGGTGGTGGGGCCGAAGTCGGTGTCCACTGGCTCAGTCACGGTGTCCCTCTCTCACTGATTCCCTCTCCTTCCACCACGGCCACGCAGCTCAAGAGCCGGCGGCTTCCTAGGTGGGGCAGGGGACGAAGCGCTTCTCCTCCCGCTGCCGCCAGCCTGATAAATGAGGGATTTCGGGTTTGGGGTGCTGCAGACCGCCCCGCTCCGAAGCAGCAGCCCTGGGCCCTTGTTCAGCGGCGAGGCGTACGGTCCCTACGCTGAGGGGTCCGCCAACTCACTGCCCTCCGCCACGCCCTTCGGCCCGCTGTCGCCGCCACCGTTGCCTGTCACCGGCTTCTTAGAGGCCGCCTCCCCCTTCTCCATCCCCCTCGGCGGCGGCGCGGGCAACCCGGCCGCCGCCGCTTCCTCTTCCTCCTCGTTCCTGGCGCATCAGCAGACCATGCAGGATGAGCTGCTGCTGGGGCTGACACAGCAGCCAGCGCGGCCGCTTTCGGGGGCGGCGGCCGCGGAGAAACTCCCCAACCACCACCCCGGCGGCGGCACGATCGCGGGTGTGACCCACCTCCTCCCCTCCCAGGACTTCAAACCGAGTCTGCACCACCCCTCCTCCTCCTCCGCCTCCTCCTGCTGCTGCTGCCGCACCTCCTCCCCGCAGGACTTCAGTAAGCGGCAGCAGCAGCAGCTGAGCAGCCAGAAGAGGAAAGAGTTCAGCCCTCCCCACCTTCCCCACCCTCCGGACTCGAAGCTGCCGCCGCCTCCGCCGCTCTACTGCCCGGGCCGGTTCAGTCCGCCGCTGCCGCCGCCGCCGGCCGGCCATCTCCTCCAGCCCGCGCAGCTCGCCCAGCTCCAGCAGCAACAGCAGCCGCAGCAGTTCAGCCTCCCGCACCCGCAGCACCTCCCGTCGCAGGACTTCGCCCAGCGGCAGCGTCCAGCCGACCTGCCCCCGCTCCCACAGCTCCCGCCCTCGTCGCCCGCAGCCCCGCGGCGCCGCCACGGAGGCGTGGGCAGCCCTCGCAAGACCCCAGCCGCGGGCGAGGGCAGCGCCACCGAGTCCCCCAATGCGGGCTTGGCCCCCTCGACGCCGCCGGTGAACCCCGCACCGGGCTCCATGGAGTCCCCCAACCACCCTCTGCTCAACAGTCCTAGTAACCTCTTGCCCGGCGGGGCGCTCGGCGCGGGCGCCTTCAGCAGTCTGCAGAGCCCGGACCTTCCACACCCGGGCGGCGGCGGCGGCGGCGGCGGCGGCAGCGGCGGCGGGGGCGGGGGGCCCCCAGGAGGCGGAGGGGGAGGCGGCTCCGCGTCGCCGCCGCCGCTGCCCGGCTTCGGCACCCCCTGGTCGGTGCAGACCGCGTCGCCGCCACCCCAGCCCCAGCAGCAGCCGGCGCCCCAGCCGCCGCAGCAGCCGCCACCACCCCAGCAGCCGCCCCAGCCGCAGCCGCAGCCGCCCGGCTCGTCGGCCACCACCCCGAACGGCGGCGGCGGCTCGCTCAGCGCCATGCCGCCGCCCAGCCCCGACTCTGAGAACGGCTTCTACCCCGGGCTGCCGTCGTCCATGAACCCGGCCTTCTTCCCGAGCTTCTCGCCGGTGTCGCCGCATGGCTGCGCGGGGCTCAGCGTGCCGGCCAGCGGCGGCGGCGGCGGCGGCGGCGGCGGCGGCTTCGGCGGCCCCTTCTCGGCGACCGCCGTGCCCCCGCCGCCGCCGCCCGCCATGAATTTACCTCAACAGCAGCCCCCGCCGCCTACGGCGCCGCAGCAGCCGCAGAGCCGGAGGTCGCCCGTCAGCCCGCAGCTCCAGCAGCAGCACCAGGCGGCGGCCGCCGCCTTCCTACAGCAGAGGAACTCCTATAACCACCACCAGGTACGGCGGGCGGCAGCCTGGCTGCGCCACGGGGCCAGGAGACCGCGGGTGGGGGACGAAGGCGGCGGCGGGGAGGCCAGGGACCCGACCTTAGCTCGGAGAGAAACCGCGACGGGAGCCACTCGCCCAAGTAAGAGTGGGACTGAGAGAGCTGACAACCGTGACAGGACGCGGAACCCCAGCCTCCGGCAGGGCAGAAGGGCAGTGGCCACCGTGGGCTACGCGGATCTGGGAGACTAGGTCGCTCTGGGAGCCGCCGCTGGCCCGGCGCCCCCTCGAACGTCCCGGCGCGGCGGTGGGGGCTGGGGCAGGGGCTGAATAGCGCTGGGGCGGCGGACGGCCGGACGCGGCAACTCTCCCCGGCCCTCCTAGCCGGCGCACCCAGTGCCCCGGGCCCGGAGGGCCGCCGTCCCGGACCGCCGACTCGGGGAGGCGCGGCGAGGACCGGGGGCGGGTCGGGGACCTAGGAAGAGCGGCCGTGGGAAGTGAACTTGGGCAGGAGAAATACAATTGCCGGAGAAGGTGCGTGCGGGGGAGCCCTTGATTCTGCCCCGCCGTCCAATGAGGGAAGGCGGAAAGGCGTTTTTTTCTTTGGAGTTTGTTTCATTCTTAATTGGCCGGCGGGATCTCGCCGTGAAGCCACATCCCGCCGGGGGGTCCTTCGAGCCTCTCCCAAAGCTCCGCCCACGGTCAACCTGCCGGCAGCGCCGCACCCTGTGCCGCCAGCGAGTCGGGAGGGAGCAGCCGGCCGCGTTCCTCACCGGACCTGGTTCCCGCGGGGCCGCGTCCTCGGCTGTCACAGGACTGGGACAGAGAAACTGTTAGTGACGGCTCCGGTTCAAACCAAGATACCCCATGATTGCCCTAGTTAGTGTGCTTTTCAATGTTGGGGTTATGTTTTGTGGGTTTTAGGACAAAACTAAACTTGGAGCTGGGATTAGTGTATCTCCTAGACTTTTCGGTACATTCTTTGGTGGCCCTAACCTTCTACAAGGGATTATGTGGGCCGTGTGTATTTTAAGTAGGTAGTGTTATGAAATAACACTGGGCAGAGTATTTATCTGGATCTTTTCTGATTTAAGATTTTTGTTGTTGTTATTCCCTCAATACAATTTTTGGGTGACCGGTGGGTTGGTGAGTTGACGTTGAAAGAATGTCTTGTTAGTTTTTAATCTTGTTAGCATTTGTTTTTCCATTTTCGTGATTAAGGATTGAGAGAGAAGCAAAATTTGACCTTAACCCCATAACTTTTTCAGCTGACCAAAGTTTTCAAGGATTACCTAAGTGAAAGTTAACAGTTTATCTAAATAACCCAAAGTGACAGTTAACAGTTTTTGTTGAATCACTAATTTCTTTTTACAAAAGAGAATGTGGCCTATAAGGTTTGAAGATAGGGATATTGAAATAACTTTCCACTTTTACATGATTTTTATAATCCTCTGCAACTGTCTTTTGTGTCTCAGGGTCTTCATTTTGTTAACTGGAAACTTGTCCACAGAAAATTATCTATAGGTAATTTTGTATTCTTAAAGTTGTGATACAAAGCACTGGAATAACATATACCATGATCCATATTTAACTGTAATCTCCTTTTGGACAAAAAATATGTCTAGCCATGGAGTGTGACAGGCCACACAGCTTTCATAAAGAATTTTAGATCACTGGAAGACAGCTTTGAGCATTAACTTATTTAATAAGGAAAGTAAGGCCCTCAAGAATGAAGTGATTTGTCCATGGCTCCCTACTTATGCTTTGGGACTCTGTGGAGGGGGAAGGGGTAATATATATTCATAACTATGTTAGCATTTAAAAGTTTTTAAACGTTGGTGCTATAGATCAGGATTTTCTCTTTTAATTGTCTTATAAAAGGTTCAATTTTAAGAGAACCATATTTGTTTTTAGTAACTGCATGGCTCATACTTCTTTCACTACATCTTAACACCAAAGTATTAAAGTATAAACGTATTGACAGTAGAATTACCAGCGATGAGTACTTCTTTAAAAAAAAAATACCAAAAACCCAAAACTACAATTACAACCTTTCAGTGGGATTTCCATCCTTTAATGACTTAACTTTTCTTGCCCCAGGTTTTAGATTAGGATGTAATTTACTTTTGAAAATGAATCAACTTGATGGAGACTTGTATCAAGATCTCTACTGGAATAATCAAAGCATGTAGTTAATTGGCGGTATACCTCAGTGGATCCACCTATGGGCAACATCAGATAATTGCTTCACAGTTCATGGATAATTAAGTGATATAAAAACAAAAACACTTTAAAACAAACTATACTAAAACTGGAATAAAATGCCTTAACAGTTAAATAAGCAATGTAGAAAAATGACGTAGTTTCTATGCTGTTCTTATTCTAAAAGGCGTTTTTAATTTGTGCAATTGAGTAAATTACCACTTTTGTAGTAGTGCAACTTGTTTTGGAAACATGAAGTCTAAATATTTCACTTGGATGAGTAGGATATTTTAATTAACAAAGAACATATTTTTAGTTGTGTGCCTAGCATAATATGGTTGCTTTTAGATCACCGTGTAGATTATATCTTTAAGAATCTTCAAAGCTAATTTCAATTTATTTCTTCATATTTATCATGTATACAGTTATTTTTGAAGGAAAAAAAGTACATGGTTCTGTTTTCCTGTCATAAAATATCATGATATTTATAGTAGACAAGAAGATGAAAACTTTACCAGCATCAAATATGATTTCACGTAAAAAGATCTCAAGACTATTAACTTGTACAAGCTAGGAAAGATGTATTCTTTTGTCTTTATATATTTCATTATATAAATTCTTAGGTCTGAATTTTGAATTTGAATTGTAAACTCTTTAAATGCTGTAATTTAAATAGATATGTTTTCCCCAGCCTCTTCTGAAACAATCTCCCTGGAGCAACCATCAGAGCAGTGGCTGGGGCACTGGAAGTATGTCCTGGGGAGCAATGCATGGCAGAGATCACCGTAGAACCGGCAACATGGGAATTCCAGGAACTATGAATCAGATATCTCCATTGAAGAAACCGTTTTCTGGTAATGTCATTGCACC